TGGGTTAATACCTTATTTTGGCATGAACTATGACCATATAATCAACTTTGACTCGTGGTTTGAAAAATTAACATCCTGACCTCAATTATGCAACATATAGACTCAATTGGCCCGACACATGGTTAGACTGTCAATTTGGACGGTCAACACCGTTGACCGTTAATCAACACGCCATGTCATTGCCTCGTCAGCCTAAAAATCATTAAAAAATTAAAATATTTTCCTAATTTATATTATTTATCATTAGTAAATTAACCAAAATCATTTTTAAAAATATAAAAGAAATTTTATGTTATATTTTCTGGGTAATTTGAAAATGATAAATTTTATAAAATAACCAAAATAATCATATTATTTTAATTTTTTTAAAATTATTTTTTGGTTAATTTGAAAATGATAAATAATAGAAACTAGGGAAATAATTTGACTTTGAATTTTTTTAACAATTTTTAGGTTGATGAGGCAACGACATGGCTTGTTGACAAACGATCAACGGTGTTGACCATCTAAATGACGCTCAAAACATGTGTCGGGCCAATTGAGTCTATATGCTGCATAGTTGATACCAGAATGTTAATTTCTAAAACCACAGGCCAAAGTTGATTATATGGTCATAGTTCGGGCCAAAATAAGGTAGTAACCCTATTTATTTTTAATATTTGACTTACTCTATAAAGACTTTCATCTTTCATTCAATTCTAAGTTGTCTTGTTTTTATCCTATAATTTTCTTGTGATAAATCAACTTTGTTGTTATATTGTTGTTATGGAATTGCTCAAAAAGTAGAGTATAATTGTTATACAATTATGACATCTTCAACGTTCACATATCTCACATAGGGGCAGATCTAGTATGGAAAGAGGGTGTGCCACGACACCCCTTTGGCTTGGGTTTTCGACGAGACAAAATGACATATTTAGAAGTGAACCCGCCTATAATAGTGATATGGATAGAGTTGCTTTGGAAAAAAATTCACATCTTTATCAACTTAAAATAAAGACTAATTTTTTATTAGAAAATTCATCAAAAACTGATCAGTCAAAAATTAATATCTTTAGTTAACTTCTAATTCTCTCATTCCTTTACTATACGAAAACAATTATCATTATCTGAAGTCGAATGAGAGAAAAAATATAAATTCTTTTTTTATATGATATATTACAAATGAAATTCTTGATGGATAACTTTTTCAAAATGAGAAAAAGGTCTTGATAGATTTTTTAACGGACCCCCTTGCGTCTAATCCTCGCTACGTCACTGATCTCACATAATCTTGCTTTTGTGGTTTTTTATTCCATAAGTGTTAAAAGAGGGCGTTGGTTCTTTTTGTCTTGGCCTATAATCTGTGTAGGGATTTGGTTGCCAACAGGTGATAGGATGTTGTGTTACTACAAAAAATTGTATTGTTGGTTTCCTATCGTCCATTATTTCCCTAATGTAAGTATAAGGTTATTGTGTCATCTGGTCAACTGTTCGCCGAAAGAGGTACGTAAACCACTTTACAGAATCAATAGGATGTTTTGGCAGAAGTGGTTTAACTCCTCCAACAAGTGGGTGTAAGTTGAAGGTAAGTATGTCATAGGTCGATCCATTGCTGGAAGCGGTAGACCTGTTACCTCAAGTGGTAGACCACTTGGTGGAAGTGGTAGACAGTTTTCTAGGAAAGTGGTTAACCACTTGGTGGAAGAGGTTAACCACTCGAAGGTAAGTGTGTCATCAGGTCGTCCCATTTTCGGAAGCGGTAGACCGATTGACTCAAGTGGTGGACCACTTGGTGTAAGTGGTAAACCATTGTCTTAGAAAGTGGTAGAACATTGTCTTAGAAAGTGGTAGACCATTTGGTGGAAGAGGTCGACCACTTGAAGGTAAGTGTGGCATCAAGTCGACCCATATTTGGAAGCGGCAGACCGATTGACTCAAGTGGTAGACCACTTGGTGGAAGAGGTCGACCATTTTCTTTGAAAGTGATCGACCATTTAATATAAAAGGTCGATCGTTTTCTCCAAGTTACGGTAACTTGCAAGTCACCATAGGCATACCCTAAGATTTATCATAATAATTATATAAAAACCTATCTGTCTCCCTAAACAAAGCCAACCCTCTTTCTTCTTCTCTAAGTTTCCCAAAAAATTCTCAATTCTATTCCCTAATCTCCAAATCGATTCTCAATCCAATAATCCTTGTGTATAAAAAATTCAATATGACATACCAAACACAGGAATACATTTGACAATAAATTCTAAACAGTAATTTATTTTAAAATGAATTGAATTGTCGATTCATTTGATATCAAATAATCTGTAAAAGAATTTTAAAACCATAGTAGGCCTATATTAAGTCAAGTGATGCCTTTTCTTTAATTACGCTACTAATTTTTAATTGTACATATGACATGATTAATTCTTTAGATTGTGATTGGTCGGACAATCGATCAACTTTTGATCTCATTTGAGTTCGTAGAATGTGACTTAAGAGTTGGGCCAGAAAGGCACTTGAGCATGTAAAGTTTAAAGCCCAAAGTTAGGGACATTGGTAGGTGATACCGGATGAACGGACAAGCCCATGAATGCAAGCTTTTAGATGGTTAGACTCCGTGGAATCGACCCAATTGATTGATTTCTCCAGCAATAAAAAAAAAACAAAATAAGAAGTCTGTTTATTCTTAGGGTCCGTTTAGTATTGTTGTTTGTTTTTGTTTCCTGTTGTGTTTTAAGAAATTTGGAAAATCAAGAAAAAAAATAATGTTTAGTTGGGTTTTTATTTTTTCTTGTGAATCAAAGTTGCAAAACAAGGCCCAAATATGAGAAACAACAATTTATAGCTTTGGATATGATTCCTGCACATGTTGCACACGGGATTCCTACTGGTTGGGTGCTTGATTTCATTAAATTAGACAAGTTTTCGAATCCTCATAGAAGCAAATTTTTTTTTTTAACACATACCACCCCCAAACCCTACTTACTTACAACATTTCAGCCGCCCCCAACCCCTCCATTTTCTCTCGAACGAGAGGCTTGCACTCCCTTCCCCAGCCATAAACGCTGGCGCTGCTCTCCCCACTGCATTCCCGTCGACGGCCGCCTCCGCCCTCCCGACCTTCCACCTCCGCCTCCGCGCCACGCGCGACCAGGCCCCTGCTCGACAGCCGCCGACACGAGCCCCGCCTGCCCAACCGTCGCCGCCTGTCTCCTTCGTCCACCCGCCTGCCCAGCCGCTGCCGCCAGCCCAGACGCCGCCGCCAGACCCTGCCGCCGCCGCCACTCCGACTCCCCTCCATAGAAGCCTCAAAATGATACTAAACACGTTTTTGTTTCTTGTTATCAGTTTTAATGATTTTTCAGATCTATCAACTAAACAGGTTTGTGTTTTCTGTTTTTTTCTTGTTGTGGTTGTACATATGTTTACACAACACCACTGCAAACACAACAGCAACAAAATGATACTAAACGGGGCCTTATTTTTTCTGTGGCTTGTTGAGTTCAACTCCTGAGCTGGTTCGTTTAGAGCTCATGAGATGTCTCAATTATCAACATTGTGGCTAGTGAGCCAACTCGATTACCGATTTATGAGCAAATCGATATATATGAGTTTAATTTTGATAATTCATAGGATTGCTAAATTATATATCTCACCCTATATGGTATTTAACAAGAGACTATGTGAGCAAATATGTCTTATTTAATTTAAAAAGAAATTATACATCATAAATTGCTTCGATAATATGAAATAACATATTTTGACTAGTTAAAATTTATTAACTAAATAATATGATACCATAAAGTATAATATGAGATTAGTTAATATTGAACACTTAACTATTATCATTATTATTTTTTCATCTTGACATTAACCACATGTGCATACAAAATGAATATATCAAATAGGAGTCAAGGTTATTAACGAGCCTAGCTCAAGCTGGGGTTAAAACTCGGCTGAACTCGACTCATTTACAACCCTACTCACATGTAGCAATATATATATTTATATTTTTAATACATGTCTTTTCAAGGTTATTTTAGATGAGGAATTTTACAATGATATATAGCATTGGTGCTATAGATTTTTTCCTTTATGATACAACTTGAAGTTGTACCTTTAACGTTATGGTACAACTTCATATTGTACCTATATTCTTTTGTCAAATTGTTTTATGGTACAACTTAAACTTGTACTTTTATTTGATGGTACAAGTTTAAGTTATAAAGTTGTATCATAACATAAGAGCACAAATTCCTTTATGATACCATATAGTAGAAATGCTCATTTTAGATCGTTTGGTTTTTCTCTATTTGCGTATTTGGAAAGCTCGGTGCATTGCGACCTATGACTATCTACAATATATGCCTTCTGTGTTGGTAAGGCAATTTGATGCTCAAGTTACATAGTGGGATTTTGCTTCTTCTCAACCACCTCTATCTGCTAGGCGCGTGCCGCAGGGTTATGGGGACTCATAGTCCCCATAACTCGGTCTCTCCTACCATTCCAAGCAATGCTATTCGGGTTCATTTTGATGGTGCCACTAAAGTAAGGGTGGGGGAGCAGTTGGGTTTGTCAGTTTGGTGAGTGAAACTGTTGTTTACTTTGCTTTTGAGCGATTCTATCCCCTAATCTCCGACCTCGTTTCTCTTGGTCTTGGAGCTTTTAGCTCTTCGCTGGTGTTCGACCCATTTTTATTCTCATGTCTTGTTTTGTGGTGACACACAGGTGGTTCTTTAGATATAAATGTGAGGCTTTGTCGCATTCGATGGACGGAGCTATCCTGTAGGAAATTTTGGTGCTACGATCATCATTTCGACGTGTTATGTTTAACTATGCACCTCATATGTATAATATGATTGCCCATACGTTGCAAAAAAATTCTTTTGTATCGTTGGATCGTACACTTGTTGACTACTTTTTTTTCTTTTCATTTTGTAACTTGAATTGTAAAAACTTTATACACCTCGTATCTATACTGTTTCTCCGTCGAGGGGGGAAAAAAAACATAAATAACCTTAGGTGAAGGAAAGCCCAACCAAAATTTCTGAAGGGTAATCCATTTTTGGTCCAAGAGAAGGCCCATCTGCCATGTCTGGAGACGGAAGACTTCAACGGCAGACGTGAAGGTCGAAAAACCAGAGGGAACGGGGATCGAAAGGTTGAAGAGAGCTGGGAGAAGCGAAAGCTTTCAAGGAGCGGTAGATAAACTGATTGTGAGATTGTGCGAAAGGAGTCGTAGTTTCAATCATGGCGTGGAGAGGTCAGCTTTCTAAGAATCTCAAGGAGCTTCGAATTCTTCTCTGCCAGTCATCTGCTTCAAGCTCGTCCACCAGGTAAAATTTCCCCTCTCCAATCCTTCGCCCATTTCTCCTTATTCTATCTCTCTTCGAAAATTGACGCCTTGATTGATAATATGCCTCTGGCAGAACTTTTATTGAGAAGAACTACAAGGATCTCAAGACTCTCAACCCCAAGCTTCCAATCTTGATCCGCGAATGCAGCGGAATCGAGCCCCAGCTTTGGGCTAGATACGGTAAGGATTCTATCATTTATCATCGTAATAGCAAAGTTAGCTTTGATTACACATTAATGGAATACCCAAGGCTGTAGAGGCACCAGGGATGGTTGTGGTTGGTTTTGGTCATTGTATTAGGTTTTCCCCGTTGTTGGATCAAAGTTTACAATTTCAGCTTAATGGGAGGCAATCGCAATCTGAATTAGCTTTAGGTTCCACCATTTTGGTGTTTCTGATTCATTTCACTTATCAGACTCTATTCATGATATGCTTGGATGGTTCTGAAATGGGACATATTTCGAAGCAATGATGGGGTATAGTATTACTATTTAGCATTAGGATTTTTGTGCAACTGTAACCATTCAGAGTTAGGATAACAAATCTATTGACTTTCTGAACTTTCTGATGGAAGATTACTGATGGATTCTGCTGAAACCAGTTACAGATTGGTAGATGGAAGTCTGCCGTCGAATTTCTTCAGTATCATCTTTTGTATATAATGAGTTTCTTCAGTATCATTTAGTAGGGTTAGCTACCAGGTGCTTCATTCACCTGGAAATAGTGGAAGATGAAGTCTACTCCTACCTTTTGCTCTGTTTGTTTATCTACATTTTTCTTTTTGTGGCTCGGTTTTGTCGATGTTGTGACTTATCTGAAACACATTATTGATAGACCTTTCAAAATGCTTGTGAGAGTGTGATTGATTTTAATTGCAAGATGACTTGTGTCTTTAGAGTGTTGAAAACGCTTAGGAAAGCTTTCTATCTGAAAACAGCCTACATATATCTCCGTGTAACTGGTTGAACACTCTTATGCCCTCCTTAATACTCTTTTAATTCCAGAAATGTCTTATGGAGGTCTGAGCTGGTTGTGTTTATCCTTCCTATGCATATTTGCTTGTAATAGGCTCTTCTGTATGCATCTATTTAGTCCTTTGAACAAGTACATTGCTGGCATAATTTATATCTCAACTGGATAAGCGTGAGTTATGAGAACTAAGATATGCTCCATTGTCAAATCCTGTTAAGTGTAATTGGCATCTCTTAGTTTTGGAAGATAAATCTTGTTCCAATTCCAACAGCTTTTCACGTATGTATTTAGATATCACTCTGAATAACCTTCTGGAGCTGGAAAGCAAATTTTTTTTTTTTTGCACAAGTACCCGTAATTTGGGATACATGAATCTCTTCTAAACATCTACTGCCATTAAGTTCGTAAATATCAATCAACTTTAATCCGAGTTTCCTCAATCAACTTTCGCTTTGTCCCATTGCTCTCGGTTTCAGTTCGATTGTTGTTACCTTTGCTCATCCAGTCTCAATATAACTTGTTGATTCCATTTGATCTCTGTTTTAGATATGGGTGTTGAGAGGGGTGTTCGTCTGGAGGGTAAGGACGAAGCGCAGATCTCTAAGGCCCTGGAAGAGCTTGTGAAAGTAGGGGCTGCCCTCAAAGCTTGATAGGGGTTTTCATTTCATTGGTTCCAAATACTGTAAGAGCAGTGAAATAAATGTGGTACTGTGTCAAAAAGATCTCACCTTGTCATGTTACAGTATTTACTGCTCTTTGCATTCATGTAGACTGTGCACTCATTTTGCTAATTACTCCCCCCGGGGCCGGTGAAGGTTATTGAATATTGATGTTCAATTCGGTTTTTGTTGGATTTTCTGTAGATGTGCTTGATAAACAAAATGCACTACCGGTGGCCAACTGGCCATATATGATATCATATATGAGGCTAAATTGCAAGTTTGGTCACTAGAATTACTTAAAAATTTCACGTTTGCCACTAAAATTACTTTATTCTATTTGTAGTCAGTATTACAGTTAAAGTTTGGTCACTCTCCGTTAGTTTTCGTTAATTTTATCTGACGTGGCAGTCAACTCTAACAATTGACTGTTAAATAAGTGACGTGGCAATTAAATAATAATAATAAATTAATATTTTAAAAAGAATAAGTAAAACATAAAAAATAAATTTCACCTTTCTTCTTCGGCGATGGCGGATCCCCTCCACCGTCCGTGACTTCTTATAGGAGATTGAAAGATGAATTCTTTCAGCTTCTTCCGTTGGGTTTTGATAGCTTTGGCCATTGAAGACCTTTTCCCCCTTTTCATCTACTTCGTTCCCGCGATTGGTGCTACATGACTTCTTCATTTAACGAAGAACAGAGAAGCTGCAATGGTTAAGTAGTGTTAACGAAGGAGAATGAAGTGGTCTGAACACATCTGTGAAAATTGACCAGAGAAAGAACACATTGTAGCTCTCCGGCGAGGAACGAAGTTCGTCGAAGTCGAGTTTCTTCGAATGCGATGGGCTTCTCTTTGTGTTTCTTCACCTCGGTGCTCTCGCTGCAATCTTGGTAGTACGGCGCTCGACGGCGACGTTACTGGTCTGTATTGCGCACCGCATCATCCTCGGAAGCTTGGGATGATTATCAATGGTGTCTCCGCTGAGCTAGATCGCCGAATTGATCAAAACCAGGGTGAAAAGCTGAACTTCTCATCAGATGTCTTGTACAAATTCCCTTCGCTCACTTCCACGACATTCAGCAACGAGCAGAGGAAACGGAAGATGTCCACTGCGCACAGGATCCCATATATTGACTCCAGATTCCTGTCGAAATCGGTCTCCGATTTCCTCCATGAGCTCCGCCGCCACACCGTGGTTGACGACCTGGAAGAACCCCCAAGTCCCCGCCGCCTCCCTGATCTGTTCCACCACCACCTCCTCCGACAACCGCCCGCGCCCCATGTCTATCACCGGCGGCATGAGGTGGACGATCAGATCCCCGACCCTGCGACAACCACGACGTCGTTTTCCGGAGGGTGGATGAAGAAGCGATGGATGGTGGTGAGACCGGAGTCCACCAGCCCCATGACGCATGCTTTCGTGTCCTCGAATGCCTGAACTCTGTCGCCTTCGAAACCCTGAACTCTGTCGATTCGGCGGCGGCGACGACGACGAGTGTGTCTAAGAGCGATCCAGCTGCAACGATGGGAGGGCTAAAAATAAATAAATTTTTTTTTTAATCTTTGAATGGGTTGAGATAATGAGGTGGAAAATTGAATTATTATTTTTTAATTGACAGGTCACTGATTTAACGGTCAATTTTTAGAGTTGACTGTCACATAGGATAAACTTAACGGAGACTAACGAAGAGTGACCAACTTGAACTGTAAAACTAATTTGAGTGACTACGAATGGAATAAAGTAATGTTAGTGACAAACGTGAAATTTTTAAGTAATTCTAGTGACCAAACTTGCAATTTAGCCTATGATATGATTTGGAGTTTGGACTTCATTTCATAAATGACTGGATTCGGTATTCCATGAAAGGGAAAACAAAACAGTGGGTCAAAAGAGCCGTGTCGAGAAAAGATGGCTTTGTCAATTTGTGTAGGTTTTCTTCTGGATAGAAGGATAAAAGTGGTGGTGGGGGGTCTTCGACTGGTGTTGTCGCTCTCACTAGTCACTAAGATATCCGTCCCTTTTCACCATTCTTATCCTGGTTCAACATTTGCGTGTTTGATTCATCGGCTAAAAATGTGAAAGTGAAACTATTTGATTAAATGGTGTCAGCATACGATCATTGTCTACACATAAATATAAGGCAAGTCAGTGAATAATTTTTGACATGTCAGCTCTTTCTCGTTTATCCGCACACATCGGAGGGTTAGGTATGTAAATTCAATCCTCTTTCTTTCCTAACCCGTTCCGTCCTCCTCTCACTCTGTTCCATCGCAATTTTAGACCCTTCATTTATTATCCCTTGCAAACGAAATCCTCCATTCTTCTCTGCTTTCGAGCTCCCCTCCGCATCGCCGTCGTACCCTAAGGAGCAAAGGCTGTCGAATTACCGAAGTCTCGCAAATTTGTTTCATCTCACGATTCGATAGCCTCACGATTCAAGTCTCTCTTTTACTCCAGTCTCTCATTCTACAACTTATGTGTTCATCTATTGTATGTCGGGTCTACATCTATTGCCCTATAGATTTCTCACAGTAGTTATTGTCTACTTAAGTTTTCATATCCTTAGGTTTTCGTCTATGAACTTCTACCCAAACCATCGCCTTGGCCCACCAATTCGCAACCCATCTCGAAACACTATCAACTAAATCAATGAATAATAGATGCCACGGTCGCTACCGAAGATCCATAAAATATCTATTATGCACAATCCTCGCCTTCACCCACTAATTCACAACCCGTCTCCAAACATTGTTGGTGAAATCCTAATCTGTACCCATTCACCATGCCCCAAGACTACCACTGAAAAAAGCCTAACATTGGAGTTACTATTCATTAGTGGCTCTCAAACTCCTCCAAGTGCAAGTGGGGAAGTTTCAAGTCCATCTCTTACCTCACTCTCTCATTCTATAACCTATGTGTTCTTCTATTGTCCGTCGGGTCTACATCTATTGCCCATTAGATTTCCCATAGTAGGTTTTGTCTACTTAAGTTTTCATATCCTTAAGTTTTTGTCTATGATCTTCTACCCAAATTATCGTCTTGGCCCACCAATTCGCAACCCATCTTGAAACACTATCAACGAAATTAATGAATAGTAGATGTCATGGTCGCTACCGAAGATCCATAAAATATCTATTATGCACAATCCTCGCCTTCACCCACTAATTCACAACCCGTCTCCAAACATTGTTGGTGAAATCCTAATTTGTACCCATTCATCGTGCCCCAAGACTACTAATGAAAAAAGCCTAACATTTGACTTACTATTCATTAGTGGCTCGCAAACTCCTCCAAGTGCAAGTGGGGAAGTTTCAAGTCCATCTTTTACCTCACTCTCTCATTCTATAAACTATGTGTTCATCTATTGTCCGTCGGGTCTACATCTATTGCCCATTAGATTTCCCATAGTAGTTTTTGTCTACTTAAGTTTTCATATCCTTAGGTTTTTGTCTATGATATTCTACCCAAATCATCGTCTTGGCCCACCAATTCGCAACCCATCTTGAAACACTATCAACGAAATCAATGAATAGCAAATGTCACGGTTCCTACCGAAGATCCATAAAATATCTATTATGCACAATCCTCATCTTCGCCCACTAATTCACAACCCGTCCCCAAACATTGTTGGTGGAATCCTAATTTGTACCCGTCAACTAGGCCCCAATACTACTACTGAAAAATGAATCATAATTTGTACCCATCCCCCGTTCCCAATGGGGATGGGAAACGGTGCGGTCTGGTATAGACGGTCTACAGTCCAGACCGACTAAAGTATAGACCAAAGACCAGACCACATACTATACGGTTCAGACCAGACCACTCTTGTGCGTTCTAGTCTGGTACGGTCTGTTCCAGATAGACCACATTGAACGAAAAATTAACACTTTGTTAAGTCAACCACGCTAAAAATTGAACCAATAACTGAGAAAAACAATTGTTTTTTTTTGCCTAAAAACATAAAATCCAACATGCATGATGACTCGATCTAACTACAACATCCCAATCGACGGCCAAGTATAACCGCCGACCGGGTGTAGCATAGGGCAAGCAAGCAATAAGAATTTATCATACCACGGGGATCTAGGCTTACCCTACTTCAGGTTTAGGGTTCTTTATCTAGCCAACCTAGGATGGTGATTGTAAGAACTAACCTAGCTAACCACTACCTAGCTATTTACAAGTTTTGGGAGCACTATTGGGTTGAATCCCCCCTATTTCTAGCCTTTGGATCGATGTTGGGTACTATCCTAACTCGATCGATTCACTATTCTACCGTTATGAGATTGACTCACTCGGGACGGACCCGGAACGTCGAAGTGATGGATGGGTATGAGATCTTATCAACCTAGTGTTTCATATATTGCTAGGAGACCAGTGGAATCAACTCCCTCGGGGATTACCCAAACAATATAGGATAGGAGTGGCCCGAAGACGCCAATAGGGGGCTCTAAGGGGATTTTCTCCCTCCTAGGTCAAAGCTCAATTGACAAGTCAAGGAATCCGAACTCATTCAATCTTTACCAAACATCCATCAAATAGATAAATTCATCAATCAAAGATAGAATTTGTCACATACATCAACAATGAAACAAAATCTAGACCTAGGGTTCTTAAACCCAAGAGAAGGGGGTGAGTTTCTAGAGAGAGAGAAGAGAGAGATTACAAATTGGAGCCCAAGATCTTCTTCTTCTTCTTCATCTAGGCTTGATTCCTTGCTTCCAAGCTTGATCAATGCCTTCAATTAAGTTCCAAGATCACTCAAGAACTCTCTCTCTCTCACTAGAACTCCCCTTTGGTGTTTTGGGTCAAAACTCTAGAGAGAGAATTGATCTCTCTTCCAAAAACCACCTCCCCTCTTCTTCCTTCTGCTGCTTCCTTTTATGGCTAGATCAAAGGTTGTTCACGGTCGTTAACTCAATGTATGGACCGTGATCTCGGCCAGAAACACGTTGTTTCACTAGAGCACTTCACGATCTGGAGCTGAAGTTCACGGTCTTATGACCGTGATATGACTTGGCGCCAATAACTTGTAGAAATGCTCTGTACCCTGGCTAGTTCACGGTCACGGGACAATTATCACGATCGCTCTTTTTCATGCTTTTCGAGCTCCAATCGACCCGAAACTCGTCCTCCACCTTCCCACACGTGCACCTGAAATATGACAAAACAAGCACACCCTAGCGTAAAATAGGTCGAGAGACAATGAAATGGAAAGTCAAATTATCAAGAAATGAGGGGTACAATGTGTGCATTTAGACCCGTATTACATGAATAATTTTGACACCCTAAAT